AGATGCACGGGTGTAAGCGCTTCCAAACGGAACAAGCAGTGAATAATAAAAAGAAACAAAAAAATGCTAAGATATGTGATAATTCAACTGATCTTATTCATATTCATCATGGAAACAGTAGTGGTATAAAGTGGTTTTTTTATTTTCGTTTTTATTATGATAACTGTTATGTTTTAGATATCTGTGCTGCTTCATCCTTTTACGGTGAGGTTCCAAAGAATCAACTTGCTTCTGGTGATGAACATGATACTCCTAGTGTTCATTCATCTAATCCATCTCACCTTCAGTATTTACACGTAAATAGTAGTAGTAAGGATTGCTTTTGTAATTAATCAGTATCCATAAAGGATGTCTGGTACAAGGAGAGAAGGCAAGAGGCGTGAGAAAGAAGCGAATAAAACTATACAAGTTAGAGAGAGATCCAGTAAAGTCGGATATCTAGAAAAAACATGACAAATTTTTGAATTATGCCTTCAAAGTTTGACTGAAAATGTGGCTTTTGTGAATATGAAAGTAACAAAGCACGCTTCCTTGATCTAATCGAACAATAAGGGAAATTCTTGCTTTTTTGTGTACTTGTCGAAGCAGACTTGCATATATGTTCAAAGGAATTATACAAGGATGGAGATTAGCAGTAATATACGATGTTAGCTAGCACTTAGTAGACACGTTCACTTGTCTCTTGAAAAAGGAACGAAAATATTTGCTTTAGTATTATGCGACAGCGTCGACTAGTCATAGTCTTCGATCATCTTTTAATGCAAAAATCGTTGATGCGATAATTTCATATACTTATTCTGTCTATTAACCAAAAGGGTCTAGACTATTTAGTGTCACCTTGTCAGGCGCATCAAAATGTTAGAAAGATATAGGCTAATACGATCCAAATACGAATTAGATCTGGAATTTACAAAATCAGGATGTGTACTTGAACGTTTGGAATTACATAAATACTTACGTCTGACTTGATTTCTTTGCTCCGTTTTGAAAATGAAATTATAGATAGTCTCAATCGTAACAGAAAGTGAAACTATGAGTGTCGTCACAGAACTGTGTACGTAACTGTGCTTAAAAAATCAAATAGTTTATCATTTGCTTCCTTTTATGTCTATTTTCCATAAAATTAGATTATTTTGAATTCAAATCACCATAAACATGCTACAATAAAATACGCTGCAGAACAATGAAAAAAGAATCAGTGATAAATGACATTTTTGAATATCATGACGAAGTCAGATCATGTTGAAAAACAGAAGTTGTCTTTCCATGGACTGCTACATACTATAAGTTTAAAACCTAGTTTTTGCTGATAAAGAACTAACTGAAAAAAGGCAGTTTAAAATACTGATAGCATATCGAAAATCTGTATAAAATAAAAGCTATCGTGGAAATCAGAGCTTTTTCTTTTTTCTTTTTTTGCAACTTAGTTTTTCGGTCTTACTTCAATTTGATTATCTATTCTTTGGAATTATAATTCATTGAAAGTAAACAATTCCATGTTACAATTTTAATGAACATGACATGTCAAATTCAATAGATATGTATATGACACTAACGAAATTTGAACAATGTCATTGTATTAATCTATAAATACTTTAAACACATCTAAATTGATAGTAGACTTTGTTATGCTACTATCATTTGGTATTCCATCAAGGAAGAATGTTAAACATCTTGTACTAAATATTTATTGTTTTTTAAATGTTTGAGAGGGTTAATCGAGAACGAGACTTTAAAAAAAAAGAGAAAAGACAGTGAATGAACGAACAGACAGACTTCGTCTTTTTTTCTGGATTTTTCAATGAACAAGAAGAGAAAGAAAAAGAAGAGTAACAAAAAACACTATGGAAATTATTTGTCTAATCTTGTCGACCTTTCAATTCTCGTACAGTAATCTTGTCTTTTTCAATAACATAGACAACTGCACCCCAACCACTAGCTGAATCACGATCAACACCATTTAATAATGCTTGTGATGTTGCTTCGAATAATTCATCTGGATTCATATTTGGCTTAAAGAATAGTTCACCTATAAAATAAATACAACAATATTTTTTAAAGATTTATCATTAAAAAAAACAACAGTAAATTCTAAAACATACCAAGACCAAAAATATATTCACTAGCAGTTCCAACAGTAGCCAAATTAACATTATCACTAATAGCTCCAATGTTATCCGAATCAAAAACAAATGTTTCACCAGTTTTTGGATCAAGACCAATGACAAGTGCAAATATAAAATAAGGTCCAAATCGTCGTTCATATAATAAATTTGTTAACATATTATATAATACAGTGGGTTTTAATTTTCGTTGTTCACGTAATTCATATAAATTTGTACGAAATTTCAAACGTTCAGCTACCGTTTGTACCTTTTTTTCTTTAAATAAAACTTAAATTTTCATCGAAAACAAAACACTTACATCTGTTGCCAAACCACAAAATGCTACAAAGCAATGGTCACTATATTGAAATATTTTTGTAAAATTTGTTGCAATTGTTCGATTTTGTACACCATAACGTTTATCACATGCAATAGCTACACATTCTTTACCTTTCATTGCTAAAGCAACACCACCATTGTATGACATCATATCATCACCCATTTTTTATTGTTTATTTAATGTTTTCTAAATGATTAAATCTACAATCATGTCATATATATGGATTTCGATTATATATTTACGGAAAAATAATCAAATAAATAGACGCATATGGATATAATTGACATCAAGTAAGGAAAAAAAATAAACGGAAAAATTTTCTTATCCGAATGATTTGACGACAACAAAAGAAATAAAATGATACAAGACAAAGAACAACATTGCACTGTTAACGGAAGAAGAAACAAGAAACTACAATTATTTTTAGAAGATTGGCACATAATTATCAATTCTAGAAAAGACAAAAAAAAAATATATAGATAATGATTTAGAGAATTCCTGTTTTTAAGATCACAAAAAAAAATTTTTACCGTGCTCGATGTTTTTGTGCAATACATTCAGCAATCCAAATAATATTTCGATTTTCTTGTTCTTTTAATTTTAAATAAGCATAAAAAATGCCAAAATGAAATTGACGAAGAAATGCATTCATATTAAGTTTAACCTTAATAAAAAATATATATAGAGAGATTTTTATTTCTTTTTTTTTGTTTCAAAATAAAATTCTTACTTCATGTTCAAAAAATTTATCTTCAATTGTTTTATCCCCTGTATTTGTTCCAGCTCCTTCAAATAATACTTTGTATTGCTAAAAAAATATAATCAGAATAAGATATCTATTTCAAATAAATTAATTTACGGAATAACGAGCTGCAACATCTCGTACAGCATCATAACTATCTGTGCGTCGTAATTCTTGTAATCCATCTGGATGTAAGTGACCACATGTTGGATAAAGTTTTGCACGTTCATCTTGTGTAAGACCTGTATCAAATGAATTAATTGTAATCATAAATGCACGACGATCAGCTTCGAACTAAACGGAAACAAAATCTTTTTTAGCTTTCATTTGATTATGATCATATACACATACAGCAAGAATTTCACACATTACTTCAGCTGTTGTACCACCAAGTTTCTTGCAAAAATTATAAAAATCTTCAAGATATGCCTGAAGAAAATAGTGAAATTAGTTTTTTCGTTAAGTGTTTTGGTTTTCATTTACCTTATAAAGTGTACTACGAATAATTTCAACATTCAACTCATCAAGATCATGTTCAGAAATGCAATCAATAAAATATGGAGCTGAAAGAAGAAGTTAAATATTATCTACTAGATGTTAGAAAATTTATACCCAATGGTGTATCAACGAGTACAGCTGTATAGAGTTGTGCTGGTGTATCAGCAACAGTAATAGCGCCAAGTTGTTCAAAACTACCCAATGGATGACAACGTGGTAAAAGATCGCCTATTGCACGTTGATGAAGAGTACCCGTAATTAATAAGACAATATTGTCAATCATATAAGCATATCTAAGACAAAAGAAAAAAAAGAAAAAGAAATAAGATTTTATTTATTATGATACTATATAAATTACGTTATATAATCAAGAAATGTTGATAATGGTTCATAAGACACATTACGTAAATGCTGAAATTCTTGTACAAGTTTTTCACGTAGACGATCATCAATAACATTGACAGTTAATGGACTTGCTTCATTAGCCAAAAAATTGCCATAATCAGTTGATTGTAGATGAAGTCGTAAATCTAAATATAATAATTGTTCGTAGAAATGAAAACTATTTGATAATATTGAAATATTACCTTCAAGTGTTTCACATTGTACTAAATTATGATAATCAGATGCTTTTAAAATACCACTCTTAAAACCACGACATAATCCTTCAGCATATCCATGATCAAGATTAAAGAAAAGATCGTCTTTCATTATTTGATATAAATCAAGAAAAAAACAATCTGAAAATTCAAATAGTCTATTGATTTCTATTTTAAACTTTAAAATGTCTATATGAAACTGTTCAAAAGCCAACGAAAAACAACAGAAATAATTATTTTTATTCTGTTTAATGATAACTAAACTTTAAAAGTGATAAAAGAAATATATTATTTGCTTGTTGTTTCAAAAAAGGAATAAATAAGTGTTTGTTGAATGAGTCATATTCAATTGATAAGAAAATTATAAAAAAAAGAACAAACAATTTAAACTAACTTATCTAATATTGATTTTTATGCAAGTAGTTCAATATCTATTTCAAATTAGACTTACTCCTTCTTTTAGCTTAAAGATTTGCATTACAGGACCCACCGCTAGGTAGATCACATTATAGTGTACAGTAGGTAGTCAGCCATAAGAAACGAAAATTTTTATAAAATTTTCTTTTTCGTCTATCACATTTCTGGAACTATTGGCACTAATCATTTTAGTAAGCAAAGCTTTGATTTTGACCGTAGTACCATCATTTATTTGTCAAATTATAATGTTTTTTTTACAGAAATCATTAGCACAAATAGCTTTAGAAAATCTGATAGACGAAAAAATTTTCTCAGAGCGTTTTGTTGTGACTACAATAATTATACTCGTAGATTCCGTTTTCGATAGGATTTCATTCGATATAAAATTCACTATTGTTTCTTCTTATATTTGGTATGAAAATAAAATTTTCAACAACCTTGCAATATTCAGTTGCCTCTAATATATTAACATTTAGTATTAATAGTTAGATATTCATCTACCAAATATTTCTTCAGATAAAAAAAATGTCTTTAGTTTTCAAAAAACGTAACTATTAAGCTATTGGGTATTCGAAAGCTTATAATATAAACTATATATATCACTGCCATAAATAGTACTAAGAAAGAAAGTCCTCCAGCAATTCAAGACTAGGTGCATAATGTAGATCCAAATACGCTATGAATACTTTCAAAAGGCTTTGTACCCTTAGCTTATTGCTATGTCGATACTGCACCCTTATGAGTTCTTTTGAAATGAATGCCGTGGTAACAGAAAACCTGATTTTCGAATTTTACCTNAAAAAACGTAACTATTAAGCTATTGGGTATTCGAAAGCTTATAATATAAACTATATATATCACTGTCATAAATAGTACTAAGAAAGAAAGTCCTCCAGCAATTCGAGACTGTATCTCGTATAGACCTAAATGAGCTATGAATATCCCGAAAATTGTTCGTGACCCTGATTTATTATCACGGAGACGCTGTCCTTTTACGGTTTCTTTTTAAATGAATGTCGTGGTAACAGAAAGCTGATTTTCGAACTTCGACTTAAAACTTTGCATAGAGACAGATCTGAAAAAGAATAGTTTATTGTGAAAGTTTAGGTCTTGTGATTTGCTTATGTTCTAAAATAAGAATATCAAATCTGACGGTGCGATGTAATAGACGCACTATTACTACAGTTGTATTTTAGGATAGAAACAGTAATAAGATCATAAAAGCCTATTGTCGTTAAGGCATATCTCTATGCAAAGTTTCAAGGTAAAATTCGAAAATCAGGTTTTCTGTTACCACGGCATTCATTTCAAAAGAACTCATAAGGGTGCAGTATCGACATAGCAATAAGCTAAGGGTACAAAGCCTTTTGAAAGTATTCATAGCGTATTTGGATCTACATTATGCACCTAGTCTTGACTCAAATGCGATTGAACAATTGAAGAACTTCCCTCTAAAGTAGAGTTCATTGGCGCAAAAACTTTCAACCCGGTAGAACCGTACTTTGATAATTGCAATGAAATTTTCTAGTCGAAATTAGACAGCTGCTCTAAAGATACGAGATATTTTTTTCTGGTTTTCTTCTATTCGGTAACTATTGCATCCTACATATTTCTCAGATGATTAGAATCTGTTGGATCCAAAATATTCCGACCTGATTAACAGAAAATTTTTCAGACTCCAATTCGAAACCAATCTGATACGTGCTAGTAATAAGAATTATTAAGTTTTATTCTTCACAAATATTCACATTCTTACTGCATATAAAGTTTTTATCTTTTCCATTTTGTAAATGACATTTTTGTTCGAATAATAATAATAATAAATACTTTTTTCTAAAAATAAATCAATAAATAATCATTTATTTAAATAATCACACACTAGCTAAATAAAAAGATGTAATCAATGAAAGATAAGATACCCTTTAGTAATTATTAATAAGTATATGTTTTATTCAATCTCATTGCTAAATGTTCACCAGCCGTTAAAGTATCTTCATTATCATGATCAAGTGCATGCTTAGCATGTTCATCTTTTTCAAATTTTTTATCAAGAATTAATTTTGATGGAATTGGTGATAATAATGTTGATTCATTAGGATGACAAAAAAATGCTATAGAAAATCGTTCATTATCTTTTGTTGAATCAACTATTGGCATAATAACACGATGAACAGTACTTTTAATAAAGCCTTTTGACCAATATTCAAATATATCACCAAAATTAACAACAATCATATCATCAAATGGTTCAACAGGATACCAAGTATTTGTTGAACGATCAAGTACTTGAAGACCTGATTTATGTTCATGTTGAAAAAGAAGAGTTAATGAACCATAATCAGAATGAGCACCAGCTCGAATGCATTCATCGGATTGATTTTTGACAGCAGGATAATGAAGAAGTCGAACAATATCATCAGATTTAAGTTCCCATTTATGTCTTGATGTAAAATAATCTGAATCAATATTAAAACATTGAGCAACATATGTTAATAATTTCATACATAAATCATAACAATCACGATAAAATTTATTTATGAATTGATAATTATCTAATTCAGCAAATAAAGGAGGTAGTTCATTAGATTTCATTGATTTTCCTATGTTGAATGCTTCTTTTTCGTCAATTAATTTTGTATTTGTACTATCAAGATTTTCTTGTCCACGCCGAACATAACCATAATTTTCTTTTGTAATGATATATTGTTCTTTAGTATTTAATGGTAAACAGAAAAATTCTTTAGCAAGTTTAAACATGCGTTCTTGAGCATCCAAAAGACTATGATTACGAAGGTAGAAAAAACCAGTTGTCGAACAAGCACTTGATATGGACTGGATTATAGTTGCTTCGTCTGCTTTGAGATCGATTATAGGCAAAGAAGAAAATGACATCGTTATTTATTTAT